TCAGTGGGTAGACCCCAGACCAAGCCTTTGGATTGCTTCCTGGCAAAAGCAGGGGTTACCGGGGGCTCCATTCTGTACATTCACAGGCTACTCTCTAGTTGAACTAGATTCTCCCACATGGACATGAGGTTTAAACATTCTTGCAGGAAGCCACAAATGGAGGACAATGCAAATCATCCTGGAACTAGTGCAGACAAAACAGCAGAGCTGATGCTTCTATCGCTCCTCATGTAAACATTCAGTCCACATGTAGGAAGTAAAAACCCAGACGCCCTAAGGAGTCCCGGGAGCTCTGGTGGGGGGTAAGCCATTCAGCTGCTAACCAAAAGCTCTGTGGTTTGAACCCATGAGTCGCTCTGCAGAGACTCTAGGCAGTCTGCTTCTGTGAAGACTGACAGCCTTGGAAACCTTCTGGGGCAGTTCTACTCTGTCCTCTGGGGGCCCTGTGAGTTGGAATGGACTCAGTGGCAGTGGGTGTGGCTTAGGCCTTGCTTCTGTAAAGATTGACAGCCTAGGACACCCTCTGGGGCAGTTCCACTCTATCCTCTAGGGGCGCTGTGAGTCGGAATCCACTTTAGGGCAGTGGCTTTGGTTTGGGAGCTCTGGTGGTGTAGTGCCTAAGGCATCTGACTGCTAACTAGAAGGCTGGCGGTTCAACCCCACCAGCCACTCCTCAGAAGGAAGGTTGGGCAATCTACTTCTGTAGTGATACCACCTCGGAAACCCAAGGAGGGGTCGCTATGAGTCAGATCCAACTGGACGGCAGTGTGTTTGGTGTTTGGTTTGGTCCATGAAGCCTGACAGCCCTGGAAACCCTGTGGAGCAGTTCCACTCTGCCCTCTAGGGGCACTGTGAGTCAGAATCAACTCTACGGCACTGGGTTTTTTAAGGAGTCCTGGCTGAAGCAGCTCACTAACTACACTTTTGAAATACAGATTTTCATCTACTCTTGTTAATCATAACCTTTGCAGCAAGAGTCTATCCTGCCTTGGGATATTAGCTAATGAGAGGAAGCTGTCACTATCAGCATCCAGACCATGTTGACAGATGTCTACATTTTTCAAGATATGTTTAAAGCCATGCTCTTTTCAATCAGGATTTTTTTTTTTTTTTTACTTTTCTAAGTTTATCTTCTAAATTTATTGAACTTTCTAACTTCTACAATTATCTTGTGGGGATTTGAGGATTCTTACACACACACACACAAACACACACGAAAAAATGGCTCCTTTGACTGGAGTTAGCAAAAGACCTCCAGGATAAGATGGTAGGAAAACCTGTACATAAAATCTTCACTGCACCCTTCACAGACAAGACGTCGAAACACAAGCCACGGACCTTAGGTGGAGCCTGTCTATACACCAGAGCAAAGCAGCTCTGTGGCCTTCTGAGGGACAGTGGTGGTCTGCCTTCTCAGGAAGAACGACCAACTCTCAGAAAGGGAAAATGGTGAGTGGCCCTGGCACTCTCTGTGGAGGGTGCAGACACCCCTGGGAAACCACTCGCCCTGGGTGAGCCCCCCCTTCCTCTTAGATTCAAGGGGAGAGTTTGATGCACAGAGAAGGGTGACACCCACCCCACAGAAAGGCAGGATTACAATCAAAGACAATTTCCAGGGGGAGGGGCCGTTTGCTCCCAGACTTGAAAACAGGTAGGGCTCAGATGGGCGTGGAGGAGGAGGGGGATCCCACATGAGCAAAGACCCGGTGCCTACCCCTGCCTTGACAGGACCTCCACCTAAGCCCCTCAGCTTCCTGCCTTTCCCTGTGACCCAGAAGTGGAGTCTTCACTGAGATCCAGATGCTCCAGCTGCCTTGTGACAATGACAGTATTGCCCCAGGAGCACTGTGGACTGAAAGGTGAGGTTAGGGCAAGTGGCTGTCACCAGAGGGCTCTCCTTGGTGCCTGCTCCAGAAAGCAGACCCAGGTGGTAGGGAGACATCTGATGGCCCGCTAGTGTCCACAGCCACCTGCCCAGCACCTGCAGCCCCTCCTGGAGGTGGTGGTGGTGGTGTTATGTGCCGTCGAGTCATACCTGACTCATAGCGACCCCTCCTTGGGTTTCCGAGGCAGTATCACTACGGAAGTAGGATTGCCCAACCTTCCTTCCGAGGAGTGGCTGGTGGGTTTGAACCGCCAGCCTTCTGGTTAGCAGGCAAGTGTCTTAGCCACTATGCTACCAGAGCTCCCCTCCTGGTAGGGGTGGCAAAAAGCTGGTGCAGTGGGAGTGGGCTTCAGTTGGGACCTGCCCCATGAGCAAAACAGCTGGTGTGTGATGTGTACATGGCAGGGGGAAGCTCACCTGCACACACTGTTCACAGCCCCTGCAGCCCTGTGTGCATGCCAAGCAGGGGACTCGGGCCTAGCTGCCCTTTACAGCCGCCACGTTAGGGAACCCGCCTGCCTGTATATGCCCCAAGCCAGGCCCTGTGCTCAACACCCTCCTTTGGTATTGCTTTTGGAAATGAAAGCCCCAAGCCCCTAAGTTGTGGGGGCTCCCAGTCCACCCCACATGGGGCCCTTCTCTTCTCTGGATCCCCAAAAGCACATAGGAACAAGTGTACATGCATACACAAGACACACAGACTTCACAGGTGGGAGGTGTGAAGACGGGGGTCAGAGGAGAGGACACCAGGGAGGTGGCTGCAGAGAAAGGAGAGAGGGGGTACAGGGAGCTGTCTTGGGACACTGGCATCCTACCCACACATCCACAGACCACATGAGGAGAGGGAGATGCTAGAATGAAGGGCAAAGTTCCCAAGGTTCCCAGGGGTCTGGCTGGGCTGAGCTATCCCCATGGAAACCTTGAAAAGACAGGCAGAGGCCCTGCAGTCTCAGCTCTGGGCCCTGGAGCTAAGAGGAGCCCCTCCTGAGTGAAGAGGACTACAATGGTTTTCTCCACTATAACTGGGGGTCCTTGGAGTGGGTGACCCCCAAGGCTTGAAGAAGTATATGCTGGCCTTGGTTCTCCATCAGTGAACCACTTGCTCTGAAGTCTTGAAAAATGGTTTCTACTCCTCACAGGTACTTCTGACCCAGGAGAGGAGGCAGTCTGAGAGACAAGTCCAGGTCCAGGATGAGATCCTGGTAGAGCCTTGGGGTCCTCCTGGGGAAAGGGGTCCAGTGTCTGCCCTGAATGTAAGGAGGATGCCTGGAGAGTAAGCTGTATACCCCAGGGGCAGTGGGTAATCATGGGGCAAAGGATGTTTCCAAGGTACCCCAAACTGCCCGTCAATCTATGGGTCTCACTCCTTTGCCTTGAGGACACCTGAACAAAGGTGTGGGTTTTGTGGTTAGTGCTAACCACTGGGAGGTGTGGCAGTGGGGGGGGGCAGCCTTTTCTGCACATGGTGTACTGTGGGCTTTGCTGGAGGAACTGGGGCCAGAGGGTTGTCAGTCAGGGGCCACTGTGGCCATGCCCCTGCCTCAGACTTGCACCCCTGTTATCAGGACACATCTCCACAATCTGACCTGCTCAGGGGTAGGAAGGAAATTTGAGATGCCATGATTTCTTCATCCAGCAGTTGTACCCAGAACACTTGGCCTGAGCCAGAACAGTGTTAGGTCTTGCCTGGTGCTGAAAATGACTCACATGTTCCCTGTCCCCTGAAGTTCAGTCTGGAGGAGAGATGGACAGAAGCATGAACAGACAAACATGCAAAATAAAAGAGAAAGTGCCACTGAGAAAATAAAGCCGGATGCTGTGCGGAAGGGAGTCTATCGGGGGAATGCTGTAGAGGGATCTGAGAGGCCTCACTGAGGGACTATGATGCTGTGACCAGAATGACAAGAGGGACCAACCCTGCACAAGTCTGGGGACAGTGCCAGGGAGAAGGCACAGCTGGTGAAGAGACTCAGGGATAGAAGTGAGATTTCCAGAGAGGAGGTTAGATGTGGCCAGTGTGGCTGAAGCATGCTTGGGAGGAGACAAAGGGTTGAGGACAGGCACAGATCCCAGGGACTGAGGACTGGAGGGGCTCCCCACTGCCCTGTGACATGACTGTGAAACTTAGTGCCTTCAACCACACACATGGATGACCTCATGGTGTCTGTGGACCAGGATTCTGGGCACAGCTCAGCCAGTGGCTCTGCCTCAATGGATCTCAGGGGACTGGGCTGTGGCCTCAACTAGGGAGGATCCATTCCCAAGTGACCGTATTTATGACCACATCTTATCTGAACATCCTTTCCCCCACTTTCAAGGAGCTCTGGTGGCGCAGTTTTTAAAACACCCAGTGGTTCGAACCCACCAGCCACTCCATGGGAGAAAGATGGGCAGTCTGCTTCCATGAAGATTTAGAGTTTTGGAAACCCTACAGGCCAGTTCTACTCTATCCTATAGGGTTGCTATGAGTTGATTCAATGGCAGTGGATTTGGGTGTTTTGCTTGTTGCTATCCTAGTTCACAAATGTTAAACCTTAACTATGTTGTTAACCAACGCTTGTTCTTGCTAAACGAACCCTGGCTTGCTGGGGGAGCTCCTTTCTGCTGCTGGTTTGGATGCTGCCCAATTCAGGACTGTGCTGGTCTTTCTCAAATGAACTCAATGATTAACGATTCGCCTTCAGATCTGACATTCTCTTTGACCGTCTCAGTCCGAGGCACCATCCTCACTCCCTGAACCTTCACACAGCCAAGGGCCAAGCCAACCAGAGCCTGCCTCGCCGTAACCCATCAAGGCACACTCTGCTCCGAGGATGGAGACCAAAGCCCCTACCCTGGCCTCCCAAGATGTACATGGATGGCCCTAGTGCCTCTTCAGGGTCCCTGAGTTTTCTTCTGCTCCAGCCTCTCGAGCCTCTTCCCGTCCCCAAGGCCTCCTGGCCACACAGCCCTTGTGTAGGGTTTGTCTTGGTTCGCCCCTACCCCGCAGCAGACCTCTCCGCCCGGGCACGATTTCGGTGGCGCCCTCGTCTCAGCTGGCGAGTCCAACAGCACCGTTCTCTGACGTTTATCTCTCTGCCCACTAGGCGGCCAGCACCAGAAGGCAGGGCCCTGAGCGCTCTCAGGCGCCCTCAGTGCCCGAGTGGCGCGCTAAGTACCCGGCTGCTCTCGGCAGGGATTTGCCCAATGGTTCCGCGAGTGCGCCTGCGCCGGAAGAGCCCTCCAGGGTCCGAGGCGCAGCCTAGCGACGGAGAACCCCGCTGCTCTGCTGTCGCCCGCTCAGCCCTGGGTGCTTCCGCTCCTGATTCACACATGTCGGGAAGTTGATCTAATGCACTCCCTCAGAGAATTACAACTTGTAGAACTTGCTTGATCGTCTGGCCCCACGGCTCCCCGAAGTCGGCAGCAAACCCCGCGTGGTCCTTCTATCCTCCGCGAAAGCCCCTGCCACTCCCCGAAGCCTGCTGCCGCGGGAACCTTGACCCTCGTCCCGGGCCCAAACCCATTACACTCCCTACAGCCCGGAGCTCCAAGTCAGCCGGTCCTGCCGGACCCGCCGGCGTCCTCCACCAGGTACCGCTCTAGCCAGCCCGCGCCGCGGCAGGCCCTTCAGGCTTTCGGCAGGGCAGCCCTCCTCGGGGTCCTGGCGCGGTTGCGTAGCAGCTGTGGGGACGCGGGCCGGGCCGGAAGCGGAGTGCGGCGCAGTGGAGCTTGGGTAGGTGGGAGAGGTGGAAGAAGGGGCGGGGACGGCTGGCGGCCCTGGTCTCGGTCCATCCAGTGCCCGGACCGCTTGTGGGCAGGAAGCCTTCGGCCGGGGGGTGGGGGGGTGGGGGTGGGGGGGGTCAGCTTGGGTACAGATGGGGAGCCCGCGGGGCAGCGTTTCGTGTGGGCTGGAGTGAAAGACATGTTGGAACTCGGTATTTACGCCTGGGTGGCGTAGTCGGCGGGTCCCCGCCTGGTAGGCAGCTGCACGGGAATCTGGCACAGAGGAACGAGGTGTCGCTGGGTGACGCGGTTTGGTGTCGTCAGTGTCCGGGAGGTCGTTGGAACCTGTGGAGTTTGAGATGCGCCGGAGAAGAGGCCGGGGAGGGAAAGGGGACACCTGCTGGTGGCGACGGGGTGCACAGTGAAGGGCGGCGGGGCGGATCGGGCATGCGCGGTTGGTGTCTTGGGCTGTGCAGTGTAGTCTGTGCTCTTTGGCGGCCCAGCGGTTTCTCACTGTCTCACATTGACCCTGTGGCAGGGGCTCTGTTTGTGTCCTTACTTTACACGTGAGAAGGTTATTTCATATGTAAAACTTGTACAGCGCCCACATGGCTTTGGAGGATGGGCTCTCCAGGTGGGAGTTGGGAAGGGCCAGGCAGAGTTGATGGGGGGACTGGCCACCTCTCTAACAGCAGCCTCTTCTTGACCCTCCAGATACTACACAGGGCCCCTCTTCATCGCCAGGAGCTGATGGCGGGTGAACTGGACCAAGATAAATATGACACAGATGAGAATGTGAAGATCATCTGCCTGGGGGACAGTGCAGTGGGCAAATCCAAGTATGTCAGGAGCTGCAGAAGCACGAGCAGGCCTGGAGCGGGTCTTCACAGGCTCTTAGGAAAGTCTGGGTGGGAACAGTCCTGGCTGGAGCCCAGGTGCGCATCAGCAGCTAGGTTAGGTGTGTGGGAGGTGGGCAGGTGACGAGGACTGAGGAACTAGAGCTTTGCCCATTACCTGGCAGCAGGGGCAGCGGGCCACCCTTGAGACTCTTGAAGCAACCCCAGGTAAGGAGGTGAGACCAGGGTTGTTCTTGTGTGAGCTGATGCACCAATAGATGATGTTGGTTGGCATGGAGAAAAGACAGTGGGAGGTATGGCCAGTACAGGTGGGGACAGATTGAACACAGGTGAAGATGTGTTGTTGGAGGGACTCACTGAGATTGAGTAGAGTGGACAGAAATGATGCCTGACAGTCATCAGCCAAGAAATGTGTTTCTTCTTGGATCTGACTTCCCCACGTAGAGAGTCTGGACCACTCTGCAGTGCTGGCAGCTTGTCGCAGTGAGGCATCATCCTCAGGACAGCCCCTTCTTCTCCTGTCAAAGCTTGTGCCTTTGTGCCTTCACAGGATGAGGGTCGGCTGACCACACTGACTGAGTAGGTGTGTGTGGGTCTTGCTCCAGCCCTTATTAACTTGTTCAGGTAGCTGTGAGTGGTTCTGGGAGCTTTGCTGCTTTGGTGGCTTCATTCACTGATTCTCTGTCTCTTCCCCTCCCCCTCCCCCTCCCTCACACATATACATACACCCCTTGCAACTCAGGAGCTTTGCAGTTGCTTTGGCCATCCTCAGCAACATGCCTGTATATTACCAGTGAAGGCAGATACTGTAGTTTTGGGGTTTACTCAATAAATAGCACTCATTTTCCCCACCCGAGTTTAGACCCAACACAGAAGGGAATGCTAGGTGGGTGGAGAGCAGATGGTCAGCTGGATAGCTGGCACTGCTGAAGAGCGTTGCTTGGTGTGAGGCCCAAAGTGGCTTGTGTGTTCATGCTGGGCCACCCACGTGTCTAATGCCAGTCTCTAGAAGGCTTACTTGAAACGACCAAGAATAAGAATCTCAAGTAGTTAACAGAATGTCAGAGATCACCACACAGTGGCTCCACATCATTTAGCATCTCAGTAGAAATGTTGTCCCTAGAAGATGGTGGTTTCTGCAGGAAGATGAGCCTGCAAGAAGGCCTTGGTTTGGTTTCACTGGCACTAAGAACTCTTTACCAATTTCCCTGGATCCCCATCTGTGAGTCCAAGCTCCATTGGGAGGAAGCCCCTTTGTTCACATTGGCTGGAAAGCAGGTACCCAGAGCCCGGTGTCTGGCACATGGGGTTTACACGGGGCTGCCTTGTAGTCTCTGCTTTGTATTTCCTCCTCTTGAAGATTTCTTTGGCCCAGGTGCTTTTTCTGACAAGACCTGGCCTTTTCTCGATTCTCTTTTAAGAGCAGTCAGGTACAAATGAGTCTTCATTTTTCTCGTTAGAGTCCCATCTTTCCCTTAACAACTGCCTATCTTTGTTGTGCAGAGAGGGCAGAGGTGGCCCTTGCCCCCACTAGAGCCACATGGTATGTGTACAGGCTGGGGTTACTGAGGGAAATTTGCCAGTTCAGGCCTGGCATACCTGAACTGGCCACCTGGTGGAAGGATCTGAGGAGAGGACCCAGCACCTGTGATACTTGAAGAATGGGGCAAAAGGAGGGCAGGAACCATCTGTGCGACGTGGGCCTCTGGAGGGTGAGAGAAAGTCCTTTCCCCTTCAGATCCCTGGGGCTCCTCTTACATAACTGTGGTATACCGTCACAGCCAGAAAATGAAGAGTGAGTCTGCATTTGTTCCATAATGTGTGACTGTAGTGTGGCTTCAGGTGACTGCCACTGAAGTCAAGGTCCGGAAGGGTCCACCACCACAAAGACCCCTTTCCTGCTGCCCATTCGTAGACACACACCTTCACTCCACCGTCCCTGACCTGCTCTCTGTCTCTCTGAGTTGGTCATCCTGACAATGTATAAATGGAATCATGTACTGTTTAGCCTCTCTCACTCAGCATGATAGACCCTTAAGGCCACCCGGGTTGCTGTGACCGTATCCCTTTGTATAGGTGCACCACTGCATTACTGTCTAAGCCTTCACCTGTCCAGTGACATTTTGGTAGCTTCCAGTTTTGGGCTATTACACATAAAATTGCAACAAATAATTGTGTACAGGTTTTTGTGTGGACATGAGTTTTCGTTTCTCTGCAGAGGAGTGTCATGCTTTGTTTTATAAGAAACTGTTGAATGTTTCTCTAGAATAACTGTTGTCCCACTAGCAATGTGAGAGAAGAACCAAAAGCAAACTCATTGCCATCGAGTCGATTCCAACTCATGAGGACCTTGAGTTTCCGAGGAGGTATCTATGGAAGTAGATTGCCCAGTCTTCCTTCCGAGGAGTGGCTGGTGGGTTTTTCCCGCCAGCCTTATGGTTAGCAGTCACATGCCTTAGGCACTATGCCACCAGAGATGGAATTTTTTCATATCCTCACTAGCATTTAATATTGTTGATATTTTTTATTTTAGCTATTCTGATAGGTGTGTAGTGGTATTGCATCACGGTCTTCCATTTCCCTAATGGCGGGAGAAGGAACCCTGGTGGTACAGTGGTAAAGTGCTTGCTGCTAACCAGAAGCTCGGTGGTTCAAACCCACCAGCCACTCCATGGGAGAAAGATGTGGCTGGCTGCTTCTGTAAAAATGTGTAGCCTTGGAAGCCCTGCTCTGTCCCATAGTGTCGATACGAGTCAGAATCAACTTCATAACAATGGGTTGTTTCTTCAGGGGGTAGGAGGAAATGGCTATTGATGTTGAACTTTTTTAAAAAATCTGCTTATTGGCCGTCTGCCTATCCCATTTGGTGAAATGGCTCTTCGTGTTTTTGCCGATTTTCTAATTGGATTTTTTTTTTCTGTTTTGAATTCTTCATATTTTCTAGATACTAATCTTTGTTACATATTTGGTTTGCACCTATTTTCTCCCAGTCTCTAGCTTGTCTTTTTATTCTCTTAACAGAGTCCTTTGCAAAGCAAAAGTGTTTTTAATTTTGATGAAGTCACATTTTTAGGTGTTTTTGGTATATGACTCATGCTACTGGTATTACCAAAATCATGGGCTTTGGACTTCAGCAAGCCCTAGATCCTGAAGGTTTTTTCCTATATTTTTTCTACAGATTTTACAGTTTTACATTTATGTCCATGATCCATTTCTAGTTAATTCTGTGTAAGGTATGAGGTTTTGGTTAAGGCTGTTGTTGTTTACTGTTGCCTATCGATATCTTGGGAGCTCTGGTAGTGTAGTAGCTAAGGCACTTGACTGCTAACCAGAAGGCTGGCGGTTCAAACCCACCAGCCACTCCTCAGAAGGAAGATGGGGCAATCTACTTCCGTAGTGATACTGCCTTGGAAACCCAAGGAGGGGTCGCTATGAGTCGGGTCCGACTCGACGGCACGTAACAACAACAACATCGATATCCCAGTGCTCATTGGTTGAAAAAGCTTGTCCTTCCTGCACTGAATTGGTTTTGCACTTTTGTCAAAAATTAGTTGGCCACCAACCCCACAGAAATAAAAAGGACCCTAAGAGAATGAGTTGTATGCCAGCAAATTAGGTAAGTTAGAAGAAATGGACAATTTCCTAGAAACACATAAACTTACTAACTCACGAAGAAACACAAGAACTCAACAGATCAATAACAAATGAAAACACTTAATCGGTGATCAGAAATCTCCTAACAAAGAAAAGCCACGGGCCAGATGGCTTCAGTAGGGAATCCTACCAAACATTTGTAACAGAGATGACTGCGGTCTTCCTTAAACTTTTCCAAAAAATAGAAGTGGGAGGGAACACTTTGTAACTGAGCCTATGAGTCTAGCCTTACTCTGATACCAAAGCCCCACGAAGACACCATAATAAAACTACAGACCAGTAGTCCTTATGAGTATAGATGCAGACATTCTTAACAAAATACTAACAAACCAAGTCCAAAAGCATATTAAAAGGATTGTACACCGTGATGAAGTGAGGTTTATCTCTGTAATGCAAGTCTGATTCAACATCTGGTGATCCATGTGATACCCTGCATTAATAGAACAAAGGAAAAGAACCACGTGATCGTCTCAGTCGGCACAGAAAAGGCCTTTGACAAAATCCTACACTCTTTCATGATAAAAATACTCCAGAAACTAGGAATAGAAGGGAAATACCTCAATATGATCAAGGATATTTATGAAAAATCCATAGCTAACATCAAACTCAATAGAGAAAGACTGCAGATAGCTGCTCACTGCTGCTGTTCAACACTGTACTGGAAGACCCCGCCAGAGCAATTAGGCAAGAAAAAGAAATAAAAGGTATCCAAATCAGGAAAGTGAAAATGAAACTACCCCTTTTCGCAGATGTCATAATCCTATGTAAAGAAAAAGCCAAGATTCCACAAAAAAGTTACAAGAGTTAAATGAATTTAGCAAAATGTCAGGGTACAAGGTTAACACAAAGATTAGGCAGGTGTGCATTTTTTATTTTATTGTGATTTGGGTGAAAGTTTACAGAGCAAATTCACTTTCCATACAGCAGTTCACAGACAGTTTATCTCATGACACTGACTGCAATTTCCCACAATGCAGCAGCTCCCTTCCCACTTCCTCCCCTTAGTTACCTCTTCCCTGTGTCCTTCCCTCCCATGCACTCCTGTCCCCTGAGCTGTCTCCCTGTACAGCCCTTCTATTCTCCCATGATTGATCTCTTCAGGGAATGTGTCTATCTAATATAAGTGTTCAGCTCATATGCCTGTCTTTTGTTTGGCTGGAAGCCACAGAAGTGGGTTCAGTTCCAGCCCTGAAGGGCAGCGAGGGACCATAGTCTCATTGGTTCCACCAGGCTCTATCAGACTAGCAAACCTGGTCCTTTTTTTTTTTTTTTTTAATGATTTTGAGTTTTGTTCCACATTGTTCTCCCACTCTATCCAGGATCTCCTA